CCGCAGCTGAAGAGCAATGGCTCAGAAACTCTGACAGCTTCACAGAACTGTGTGTGGGCTTCCTGCAACTGCTTGAAGGTAGACTGTAAAGAAGACATTTTTAACTTGAAAACATTTTCCTTGCAAAGGAGGAAAAAGCTCGGAGGAAGAGAGCTCAACTTGGAAGTGCAGAGCTGGCTGAGCCGTCAAGAGTGCTTGCCGCTCGAGTTTGGTTTCCAACACCCACCAGGGGCTGCTCACAGCTATCTGTGACTCCAGCTTGAGGAGATCAGTGCCCTTCTCTGGCTTCCACAGGCACTGGAACCCAAGGGCCTATACCCCGACCCAGACACACGCCTGCAGGCATCCTTAAAATAATACATGTGAAGCAGGTGGTGGGTAGCACGCCTTTAACCTCAGTACTCTTCAGGCAGAGGCAGGGTCTACAGAGTCCTGGTCTACAGAGCGAGTTCCAGGACAGGCTCCAAAGCCACAGTGAAACCCTGTCTCAAAAAACCAAAATAATAAAAAGTAAAAAATAAGTTTGGCCATGGAATGAGAGCTGTCTCTGTGAAACACAGCATCGTGCTTCTTAATCAAAACTAGGGGATCAAAAAGTACTCTAGAAACTTCGGGTTGGCAAAATACCTGACTGAGAAGAGACACTGAGAGCCCTGGGTTAATCCCTGGGTCTTTAAAGTGGTGGGCCTCCATGAGTGGGGTGCACACACCAGAGACACGCACACCTGGACACACACTCACTCATAGAAACACACACACACACACACACACACACACACGACTTAGTAATTAAAGTGTTCTAGAAACTTACTTCAGAAAGAGGCTGTAAGTTTGGTCTCAGGAAGTAGGTAATTGCTGCAATCTGAATTGCAAAGAAAGGCAGAGCCCAGTTCTCCCTCAGAGGGATGGTGAACTCCACTCTCGTGGTATCTGTTCTATAGGAAGAGAACACAGACAACCAGAATAACAAACAGTTCTTGTAATCATTTCCTCAAGAAATTCAACAGGGGAAAGCTACAGGGCATTTTCTTTTCTTCAGGACACACAGATTCCGGCCATGGGCTCTCAATGGCAACTGTCATCACCGTCTTCATCACTATTACCCCCCAGGACATGAAATCCCTTGCGCTCATTAACTAACTGGTGGGATCGGGGTTCAAGCCCATGGCTTCGAGGATACTCAGACACTGAGATCCATGCCAAACTCCCCTTTATATTTTTCTCTAGATGCTGCAGGCAAAATTTTCTTTGCTTTTTCTTTTAAGGATCGATTTTTATTTTATGTATATGAGTGTTTTGCCAGCAGTGACCAGAAGAGGGCACTGGATCCCCTAGAACTGGAGTCACAGGCAGTTGAGAGCTGCATGTCAGTGGAACCCAACCTGGGTCCTCTGACAGGACAGCCAGTGCCAAGTCATCTCTCCAGCTCTAAGACCCTATTTTCCTTAGTGCTTTATATCTGAAACTTGCTGATGGCAGGAACTTCCCAAATGGCTTATCCCAGTAGAATGTCCCCCTCCAGTGGGCAAGAGGAGGTAAACTTCCGCCTGTGTGCAGTACTGAGAGACACACACACCTACACTGGGGTAATTGATGCCAACCGCAAAGATCGACAGTGCCGTTCAGAGTGTGTGAGCGCAGTCTCAAGGTTCATAGCTCTAAAACTCAGGTGACAGTGTCCACCTAGTGAGGCTGCTGCTGTTTTGTTTTGAGACAGGGTCTCTCTCTGTAGCCCTGGCTGTCCTGGAGCTCACGATGTAGACCAGGCTGGACTTGAACTCTATTTTTGGTATACTACCCAACCCAGCCCCTTATAGGGTTGTTAAAAGGCAAGACTTTGTAAGGTGCTTAGCACGTTACAAGCATTCGCTAGACTTACAATGTAGAGAGGGCTCAAAGGTTAAGAGCCCTAGCTGCTCTCACAGAGAACCCAGCCTTAGGTCACAGCACCCACAGGGAGGCTCACAACTGTCTCTGATGCTAGTTACAGAGGCTGTGATGCCCTCTTCTGGCCTTAAGAGGTAAAAGGAACATACATTGTGCATATACACACATGCAGGTAACAAATACATAAAATATGATTAATTTAAAAAATAATTTTTCGGGGCTGGAGAGATGGCTCAGAGGTTAAGAGCACCGACTGCTCTTCCAGAGGTCCTGAGTTCGATTCCCAGCAACCACATGGTGGCTCACAACCATCCGTTATGAGATCTGGTGCCTTCTTCTGGTGTGCAGATAGACATGGAAGCAGAATGTTGTATACATAATAAATAAATACAATTAAAAAAAATTAAAAAAAATAATTTCCATATGGTTAAGAAGAAAATCTATATGGTAATTCATGTTAAAACATTAAGGGCCTTTCTAACTATTGCTGCTGCTGCTACTGTAAGCTGGGTAACAAGCTAGTAAGTCTTTTTTCAAGACCTAGTATGTAGTCCAGACTGGCCCATTACTTGCTATTTAGTCCAGGCTGCCCTTGTACTTGTAGTACTCTCCCTGCCTCAGCCTCCTGAGTGCTAGGATTACAAGGCATAAACCAACATGCCAATCTAGTAATCCTGAATGTTTTTAAACTGCTATTTGATAAGGCTTCCACATTTACAAATTAATATGGAAATATACATTGATAATAATAAATAATAAAGGCATTGCATATACACAGCACTGTATATTTTTCTGCAAATCCTATTATGAGGGACAGGGAAGTCAGGTGTGGTGGGGAAGCCTATGAGGCAGGAGGAGCTGAATTCAAACAATGCCTCAGCCACGGAATGAGTTCAAAGACAACTTAGTGAGAGCCTGCCACAAAATTTAAAAATTACAAAGAGTTTGGGACATAGTTTAGTAGAAGAACACCTGCAGGGTGAATACAATGCCATGGGTTCAACACACACACACACACACACTCATACACACACACTCATACACACTCTCACACACACACACACTTTCAGTCACATTCTCACACTCACATACATGCACTCACACACACACTCATACATACACTCACACACACACTTTCACACACAGTCACATTCTCACACTCTCATACATACACTCACACACACACACACTCACACACTCATACACACACTCACACTCATACACACAGTCACACACACACACTTTCACAGTCACATTCTCACACTCACATACATGCACTCACACACACACTCATACATACACTCACACACACACACACACACACACACTTTCACAGTCACATTCTCACACTCTCACACACACACACTCACACTCTCTCTCACACACCTCTGCTGTCATTTAGCTGTGCGGAGATGAGCTGTGTGGCTAAAGAAAGCCTGACCACAGATCGAGCGGCTAACGACTGTAAGGATGGGCTGTGGTGCGATGCTCCTCGCTTCTCAGAGGGAAATCTTCTCAACAGGGCTTTCTGTCTCACGACACAAGAAAAGCCCTCTCAATCCAGGAAATGCGCACTGGCTCACCAACCACACTGTTCACAGCCACTCTTCACTCTCACCCAAAACCAGGAAAGGACGAAGAGCAAACGGGGGCAACTCACCTGTTGGTGACGTACCAGAGAGCCGCCAGCAGTCCTGACAGCCAGGTGCCGCTAAGGAGCCAGCTGGTCATATAAAGGGCTGCCACGTAGACTGCTTGGAGCCCGAAAAGAGTGTAGATATAAAAATAAACAGGTTCTAGATACTTCTGTAAAAGGCAACAATAAAAACTGATCATCAGGGCTGGAGAGATGGCTCAGAGGTTAAGAGCACTGACTGTTCTTCCAGAGGAACTGAGTTCAATTCCCAGCAACCACATGGTGGCTCACAACCACCTTGAATGAGATCCGGTGCCCTCTGCTGGCCTGCAGGCAAAAGACTGTATACAAAATAAACAAATAAAATCTTAAAAAAAAAAAAAAAACAAAAAACTGATCATCAGGGCATGGGGTGCAACTCTGTGGCAGCCTATTTGCCTGGCGTCTTAGTTACTTTTCTCTTGCTGTGAAGAGACATTGTGACCATGGCAACACACAGAAGAAACAGTTTCCAGGGCTGGAGAGATGGCTCAGTGGTTAAGAAGAAACAGTTTCCTTTGGGTGCAGTTTCAGAGGGAGACTCCATGACCAACACGGTGGGAACATGGCGGCAGGCAGGCTGGAGCAGGTAACATTAACATAGTTTTGATTGGCTGAGGTTTTACTTTTTCCATCTTTGGGCATACCGGGGCAAGTACGGCCTGTTTCAGGGTTTATAAGAGCTGTCCTTTTTTGTCACTATCTTGGGACACTGTGGGGCCACAGCAGGCCTCGAGTGTGCTTTCCTTGTCTCTGCTATCAGGGGCAGTCTTGACTAATGGCCCTTTGTTGAAAACAAAAAAACAAAAAAACTTGTTTACTCTTTAAAAAATGAAACCTTGATCCGGCTATAAAATGGGGGAAATTTAGACCTCTCAAGGGCAGCTGTCTTTCTTCAAACTAGCAAGAGAAGATACAAAGGAGACCTCTAGACAAACCAACTTTGCCTAATCTGCCTCATTAACGAGAGAAGTGGTCACTGTGATCTGATAGTGTTATGTATTTTTTTTTTTAAATCATAAAGACCAGTGGTGGCGCACGCCTTTAATCCCAGCACTCGGGAGGCAGAGGCAGGCAGATCTCTGTGAGTTCGAGACCAGCCTGGTCTCCAGAGCGAGTGCCAGGATAGGCTCCAAAGTTGCACAGAGAAAATCCCTCCTCCACAAAAAGATGTCATAGAAAAAAACAGGTTAGTCAGGAATGGTTACACATTTTTAAGTGAAACTACTTCTAAAGCTTGCAGACTGCATGCATAGTATATAAGCCAGGAAGCATCCACCGGTGAAAATAAATAACAGTATTTTTCAGGATTAAAAAAGCAAAACCATGGAAGCCCGCGGTGGCAACTGTCTACAAATCAGCAGAATCTGAAGACCACAGTGAGACTTCCACTCTGACCGGCGCAGGTGAGGACCTTCCTCAGACACTGAGACTCCAATGAAGAGACTGTTACATACCTGTATGGGGAGAACTCTATATAAAACACTGAGGAAAACCTCTTGGTAAATATTCATTCGCTGAAGGAGGTTAATTGTCCTCATGGATTCAGTTTTATTATCATAGATTAAGCCATGAAAACCTAAGGGTATTTGAAAAAAAAAAAATCAAGAGGAAAAAATCACAACCACGCCTCTCCATCCATTCAACACAACGCATACACTATTCAGTATTTTGTTGAGAAAACAACTGACTTCAAAGTAAACTGCAGCACTATGGTGACAAAGACAGCGTGACGGTAAGTTAAAAAACAGACGTGTAGGACAACGGGAAACAGCAAAGGACCCAGCAATAAACCCATGCAAAGACGGCATCCCAACTTGACGAAACATCGGAAACGTGTTAGAAAAAAAAAAAAAAAAAAAAGGGGCAAA